TTTTGAAAAGCTTCTTCCAAAAACTGGTATCTTTAAAAACAAAACAAAAATTACATTTAAAACAAAATTTATGATTGTGGTTTGGAAATAAAGAACTGCTTCATTGAGTCAATCTTGAAATCTTACTTAAATGACCAACATTCTGTGCTGGCCACTCACCCCTTTGTCATCAGCAATTTTTAAACACCAATCCCTTCCCTCTTAACCTGACCTTGAGAAGCCACTGTAAGACAAAAAGAATCACTCAAAACTGAGTACTCTTACATTAGAGTTTTGATTCAGGATTACATTTTTTTAAACTCCAAATAGTGGCATAAGTTGTATACATTTTAAGTCATAAAATACAACCACATTATATAAAATACCTTTAAAGGTGAGAAAATCACCTACAGTTCCAACATCATAAAACCACTGCTACTACTGTAATATATAGTTCCTTAGTCTTTTTATTACACATTTTTAAATGCAAGTGTAATCATAACATACATACAACTTTGCATGTGACTTTCATTTTTTAGCTTGTCTTTACAATCACCACTTGAAATAATTTTTTAGTTCTAGATTGTAAATACTGTCAAACTTTTCCAAAAGGGTTCTATCAGTTAAAAATATGACCAATACCAGTTTTACTGTAACTTTGTCAACATAGCGGTGAATGTTAAGATTTTCTAATATTGTTATAGAGAAAATTAGACTTAATAGTAAAGACTACAGTTCTTTGGTTGCTAGGAAGGCAAAATGGTTTTCTTTGCTAGTTTTATTATCTTTGTGTAAATTATTCATTAAGTCAACAAATACTTTTGGGCTTCTTCTATATGCTACAGATACACAGGTTAAAAAAACTCTATTATAAGGGGGCAGGGAATAGCTCAGAAGTAGACAGTACGCTTAGCATGCAGGAGGTCCTAGGTTCAATTCCTCAATACCTCCGTTAAAAAAAAAATCCATTATTGTACATATTTTTATAATAAATAGGAACTAATATGAAATGATACCACACTGTGAAAAGAGCTATACTGGAGGCATACACAGTCTGCACAACAACGCAGTATCTAAATCTGACTCAACACCAAGGCATGCTTCACAGAGAAGTCACAACAGTATTATCCTATGCTAAGTAAAGAGGAGTATATGGGGAACTACACATATGTTAATATACCTAAAGAAAGCCATGCAAAGGTCAGAATATGAGACAATAACCAATAAAATCCAGAACCAGACTGTGAAGAGCAGAATATCCTATGCTAATTTTTGGATTTTAGTTTTTCAGTAATGGGAAACCCTTGACAAATTCCAAACAAGATGTAATAATCAGATTTACATCCTAGGAAAATTATCAAACAGAAATATAAAATATAGAACTGAAGAATAGAGAAAGGGAAGACCGGCTAGAATTCTAAGACAACAGCTCAGATGAGGTATCAGGGTATAGTACTAACTGGTATAGCTGAACAAACAAATTTGAACAGTGGAGTCTGTCACAGAGATCGGCACTTTTGGTAATTTGGGAGTTTAACTAGAACCATATAAAGCAAGGTCTGTGGTATGACCAAAAACTGAATGCCAAGATAAGGCTGAGTCAAGAAAAGATCACTGGAAATGAGAAGTTCAAGGTACTGACAAAGTTATAATTGTCCACATGGACACTAAAATCATTAAAGGCCAAAACTGAGACAAAGAGGAAGACTATGAGCATCTAGATGTTTGCGCCTTCAGTGAAGGTCTCAGTTAAGATGGAAAGGCTATGAATTTGTTAACAAAAGGAAAGTTTGCTAAGTGGTGGGGTCCAAGAGGTCAAGAAAAAAATAAAGAGCATTAGATGAGAAAGTTTAGAGCAACAGGGGGATCGATTGGTGTTACTGAGAACAGCTGGCAAATGAGATTTTTATTTTGTGCATTAAGAAATTTTTATTGTATGCACAGGGAACTATAGTCAATATTCTGTGGTAACCTATAATAAAAAAGAACATGAAAATGAATATATGTCTATTCATGTATGACTGAAACATTGTGCTGTACACCAGAAATTGACACACTGTAAACTGACTATACCTCAATTAAAAAAATTTTTTTACTGTAGTAAAATACACACAACAAAATGCACTGTTTTACGATTTTTAAGAATATTTTTTCAAGCGAAAGAAACCCTGTCTAAAATGTAAAGTTTAGCACATTATAACACATAGATATTAAACAGCACAAAAGCATGTGAGTTATTTTAATTTAAAAGGCTTTTAAAAGAGGTTCTACTCTTAACACAGGTGATCTAAAGATTGTTCCTTCATTGAAGGAACACTTTATTTCCTATACCATAATCTCTATGGTATGTCCAAAATAAAATTTTACTTTGTTTAATCTGTACAAATAGAACAGGAATATGAGATTATAATGCTAATCCTTTTGACTTAAGCTTTACATTGTGAGGAAGGATCTTTGGACCCAGAATTTAATTATGTCAGCAAATAAGAAGGCAACTGGTAGAAAGGTCAACTAGTATCATAACACACAAAGTTTTAATTCATAAAATTTAACCCTGTATGTCGCTTCTCGGCCTTTCGGCTAAGATCAAATGTAAAATTTAATGCTGTACAAATTTATTTCTTTTCTCACCTCAAAATAAATGGTTTAGAATTCTGTTTCTAGAAATCTCTTGCTGCATTCATGTGAACATGCAGCAAGCAAACATACCATGATACACCTAGGTGAAAGTATGTGTCCTTTCCCTCATAAAGGAGCTGACATCTGCGCTGGACGTTAAAGAATGAGTAAGAGCTTTCTAGGTAAACAAACTCAGGAGGGAGGCAAGAGCTTTCACTGGGGGAAAACAATCTCAACGTACAAAAAAGCACACAGTTCTAAAGCCATCTGTCATTTTCAGGGCTAAGGAAAAGAACACAAAGCTAGAAGCGTAGTGAGGTACCAGATGCTAAAGAGCACTGTACGTTTGAAGTTAGATTCAGATAAATAATAGTGAACCATCAAGGGATTGATTGAACACTGATAATCAAAATTCTCTCTGTTCACCTGAGTAAATTTCAATTGTATTAGGAGAAAAATACTACTTGAAGCTTGGAAAACAAAGAAACAATATAGAAGTAGTTTCGGCTACAAGCTACTTCTGATTCTCTTAGCTAACAAAATTAACTAACACTGAATTTTCTTTTTGAACTTATTAAAAGTTACAGTTGAAATACTGCAGGAACGGGGGGAAAGATGAACAACCAATAAATGAACTAAGCATAATTTTGTTAATATGTAAATACATGACAGCAATTAGATTTTGTTTGTTTGTTTAGGGTCAGGGGGATTAAGTTTACTTATGTATTTTTTTAGAGGAGGTACTGGGGATTGAACCCAGGACCTTCTGCATGCTAAGATGCACTCTTATCACTTGAACTATACCCTCCCCCAGCAATGTCTTAGATTTTAACCTTGCATATGAAGCAGTGATTCTTAACATGGGATTCTTAATCACAGTGAGCTAATTTCAGTATTTCAAAATGTCTAGGTAAAAATTATGCTTTTCTATGATTTAGTTACTTAGGCCTTATAAGTAAGACCTTCTGTGATTTTGGCTAGAATTATAAAACTCAGTTTAACACATATTACCCAATAATAATATTATGAACCATTGATTATTATGTTTTGGACAGAATTATCATGCTTATATATATTTTTATTATTGAAAAATAAATTATTATTTAATGTAGTTTTCTAAGAAAAGAAGCTTTTGAAAATATGGTTCTCATAAGTAATGTGAGAATCACTTAGCTAGTAACTGCAAACTGTAACTTTTGAATGCACATGTAGAGTCTGATTAGGTCCTGAGTTATACAAGGATGCTACTCTGTTTGCCAAATAATTACAGTATTATCCTTAGTAATTGTCAGAGTGTTTAACAATAAGATTTTACTCTGGCACTTCCAGGGAAACATATCATCTTAGTTTGTATCCAAACTAAAAATCAGGGAAACAGTTTTAAAAATTGATATGTAGTAATTCTGATTCTGTTTCTTTCTTAATTCAGTTACTCCATAAAACTTAATAAATATGAATCACATAAAACTACATAAATTTCCATGCACATATTAAACTACAGGTTTAATCTCACTGAAACTACCATCCAATAGCAAAAAGTATCCATGTAAAGCCAATTTTGTTAATGTAGCACTCACTCTATCCTCAAGATTACTCTGAAAAAATCCCAAGCATTTTATTTTATCTAGGCATTTATCAACCTAGATATAGCAACAGCTGGCCTGTTTTTAGAACTTTGTAAGTTTTTAGGCACTGCTAAGTATCTTACATGGATTCTCTCACTTAATCTTTAGAAAGACTTAATGACTAGATAATATTACTGTCTTCACAGTAATAGATGATTTGGACAATCTACTGTGTCTCAGTTCTTCAGAAAAATATGTAACGATCATATTTATCTTACAGGACTATTCCAAGAATTGATCAAAACCACATAAAGCACTTAATAAACACAATATTTTGTTTACTAAAGCACAGTAAGGGCTTAAAACTAGGTATCATTGCTACTTTAGCAGTTAAGAGACATGGAGAATGGTACAAAGGAGTCTAACATACAGATGTCAGAGTTTCAGAAGGAAAGACAAGAATGCAACAGGTGCATTATTTGGAGAGATTATTAATTGAAAGACATAATCCAAAGATTAAGGAAACCAAATCAAAAGAGGTAATCCTAAAAGGCAATGAGAAAACAAAGACAAGTTACCTCAAAAGAATAACAGGTAGAAAAGTTTGCTGACCCCTTAAGGGCAAAAATGCAATGCACAGATATAACCAATGTGCTGACTACAAAAAAAAAAACTGAAACCTACATAAAATACTATGCCCAGCAAAAATATCTTTCAAAAAATGAAAGCAAAATGCAGATATTTTTAGACAAACTAGAACAACATTCACTACAAGTGAACTTTTGGCAGAGTTGGTGGTTAATCAGCAAAGGGTGTCAGGACACTTGGGGAAGGGTCCAAAATGCAGAACACTTCATGAATTTGCGTGTCATCCTTGCACAGGCTCCATGCTAATCTCCTTTGTATAGTTCCAATCTTAGTATGTGTGTTGCCAAAGTGAGCACTACCAGTGGACTTTTACTGAAAGATTCTAAAAGTAATAAACTTCAGGCAAGGAAGATGAACCAAGGCAAAAGGCCTGGGAAGTAAGAAGGAAAAAAAAAAAGAAAGTGAGGTAAAGAAGTGAGAAAAATCTTAAACATTATATAAAATCAGTAATAAAATTTTCAGCGGGGGTTAGAAAACAGAAAGAATATAATACATGATAATTACAAGGAGAGCAAAGGAGAGAGAAGAATAAAGTTTTATTTTTAAATTAAGGTATAGTTGATGTACAGTATTATATGTTTCAGGTGTACAACATAGTGATTCACAATTTTCAAAGATCATATTCCATTTATAGTTATTATCAAATATTGGCTATATGCCCTGTGCTGAACAATATATCCTTGAAGCTTATTTATTTTATATATAGCAGTTTGTACTTAATCCTCTGAGTCCAACTTGCCCCTCCTCCCTTCCCTCTCCTGACTAATAATGTAGTTTGTTCTCTATACCTGTGAGTCTGTTTCTTTTAATTCACTAGTTTGTTGTATTTTTTAGATTCCACATATAAGTGATATCATACAGTACCTGTCTTTCTGTTTGACCTATTTCACTTAGCATAATACCCTCCAAGTCTATCCATGTTGTTGCAAATAGCAAAATTTCATTTTTTATGGCTGATTAGTATTCCTCTATGTGTGTGTGGGTGCCTGCGTGCGTGCGTGTGTGTGTATATATTTAGACACCCCACATCTTCTTTATCCATTCATCTGCTGATGAACATTTGGGCTGCTTCCGTATCTTGGCAATTGTAAATAATGCTATTATAAACACTGGGGTGAACGTGTATTTTCAAATTAATGTTTTTGTTTTTTATAGATATATGCCCAGGAGTGGAATTGCTGGGTCATATGGTAGCTTTGTTGTTAGTTTTTTGAGGAACCTCCATACTGTTTTCCACAGTGGCTATACCAATTAACACTCCCACTGACAGTGTATGAGGAGGGTTCCCTTTTCTCCACATCCTCGCCAGCATTTGTTTGATCTGTGGGTCTTTTTGTTTACAGTCATTCTGACAGGTGTGAGGTGGTATCTCACTGTGGTTTTGATTTGCATTTCTCTGATGATTAACAACAATGAGCATCTTTTTATGTGCCTGTTGGCCATCTGTATGTCCTCTTTAGAAAAATGTCTATTCAGGTCCTCTGCCCATTTCTAAATCAGATTGCTTGTTTTTCTGATGCTGAGTTGTATGAGCTGTTTATATATTTTGGACATTAACCTCTTATCAGTCCTAACATTTGTAAATATTTTCTCCCAGTCAGTACGTTCCCTTTTTGTTGATGGTTTCCTTTGCTGTGTGCAAAAGCTTTTAAGTTTAATTAGGTCCCATTTGTATATTTTTGCTTTGTTTCCTTTGCCTCAGGAGCAGATTCAAAGAAATACTGCTACAATTTATGTCAAAGAGTGTCCTGCCTATGTTTTGTTCTAGAAGTTTTATGGTGCCCAGTCTTAAATTTAGGTCTGTAACTCACTTTGAGTTTATTTTTGTATTATGGTGTTAGAGAATGTTCTAATTCCATTCTTTTACATGTAGCTGTCCAGTTTTCCCAGCACCATTTATTGAATAGACTGCCTTTTTCTCTGTTGCATATTCTTGCCTCCTTTGTCACAGATTAATTGACCATAACTCCGTGGGCTTATTTCTGGGCTTGCCATTCTGTTCTACTGATCTGTGTCTGTTTTTGTGCCAGTACCACACTATTTTGATTATTGTAGTTTGTAGTAGAGTCTGCAGTTAAGAAATGTGATGCCTCCAGCTCTGTTCTTTTCCAAGATTCTCTGGCTATTTGGGGCTTTTGTGTTTCCTACAATTTTTTAAATTATTTGAATTCTGTGAAAAATGCCTTTGATATTTTGCTAGGGGTTGCACAGAATGTCTAGAGTACCTTGAGTAGTATGGTCATTTTAACAATATTAAATCTTCCAACCCATGAACATGATATACCCTTCCAAGTACAGGTCTTTTACCTCCTTAGCAGGTTTATTTGTAGTATTTTATTCTTTTTGATGTGACTGTAAAAGCAATTATTTCCTTAATTTCTCTATGTGGTAGTTCATTGTTAGTGTATAGAAATGCAACAGATTTCTGTATCCTGCAACTTTGCCTAATACATCGATGAGCTCTAGAAGTTTTCCGTAGGGAATGAAGTTTTAAAGTGGTCTAAAATTATTAGGCAGTGGGTGATCATATTAAGCTTATACTTTGATAAGTGTACATATTGTAGTTTCTAGAGTAACAACTAAGAGAAAAAACAGTACAAATAACTTTGAAACTAGTAAAATGTAAGAAATGGAATTATGAAAAATATTAGCCAATCCAAAAGAATAAAAAGGGGGAATGTAAACTAAAATGGGAAGGAAAATAAGAAATGATTAAATGAGATGGTAGATTTAAATGAAAGTAAGTAACTGGAACCTTGAATAATACAAGAGTTAATCTGCATATAACTCACAGCTAACCCTCTGAATTCATGGTCCCTCTGCATCCAGGGATTCAACTAACCACAGACCATGTAGTACTGTAGTATTCACTACTGAAAATATCCACACATAAGTGAACCCATGCAGTTCAAACCTGTTATTCAAGTCAACTGTTGAACATTAAGTCAGCTAAGGGCTCCACTAAAGGATAAAGATTCTTAGACTGAATTTTGAAATAATCCCATCATATTTGTTCATAAGCAACAAAGAGATCATAAGGAAAACAGCAAAGTAGAAAGAAAAAATGAAATGAAAAAGGTATACCATGCAGTACTAGCCAAAAGAAAGCTGGCAACCAAAACAAAATTCAAGGCTAACATGACAAGAGATAGAGGTTGACTCAAACGGTTCAAGTCACCAGTGAGATCATTTTAAGTATGTATGTTACTGACAACATAGCTTGAATACATATAAAGCAGTGATAAAACAAGAATTTAAGAAATTCAAAATCATAACTGGAGATTTTAACACACCTCTCCTAGTAAAAGAACAAACAGAAGACCTGAGGATACAGACAGAACACAACATACCCGAAGACTACTATACTTGAGCGTGGAACACTATAGTCTAAAGTACAATATACATTTTTTTCAAATTCACACAGAACCTTTAAAGAAATTAATTTTATACTAGGCCAAAGGTCAGCAAACGTTTTGTGTAAAGGTCCAGACACAGTACATATTTTTAAGTTTACAGGTCCTAATGACTCCATCACAACTGTTCAATCGTTCTTCTCCCTTCATAGTGAAGAGAGAGACCATGGTAGCATGGTTGGACTTGGCCTACAGGTCATAGTTTACCAATGAATACACTAGGCCATAGAGTATTAACAAATTTCAAAGGACTGAAATCATGCAAGCCACATAGTCTAACCACAATGCAAATAAATTAAAACCCATCCCTCCTCCAAAAACAGATAAGTTTTCCACATGTTTGGAAGTTAAACAAAAAACAAAAAGCTAATCTATAACCTAACCATTATTCAAGGAAGACATTATAGCAGAAATTAGAAAATACTTTGATTTGAACTGTTAAAATATCACATATCAAAATGTGAGATAGGGCTATGGCAGTACTTAATAGGAAATTAACATTTATTAGGGGAAAAAAA